GGCGAATACGAGGGATTTTGTGTAGATTTGGTCCAAAATTGGCCGAGATGATTAATTTCAAGTACAAAATGAAAGCCGTCTCCGAATGGGCAGTTTTGGTAGTCTGACCAACGGCAGCTGGGACGGAATGGTTGGAGAACTGTTAAGAAGGGTGAGTAACTAGATTTGCCACTTCTTTATACGAATTAGAAATGGTTCAGGTAAATAAGCGATCCAGTTGAATCGCAATTCCATCAGTAAGTACTCCAAATACTCTACATATACTTTTTAAAAAGCTTTACCCTGTGCAAACTGAATCACAATTCCACTGAATGAGATGCAAAAAGGAGTAGTGAAACTGGCAAGAATGGCTGGAAAGCTAGAGACTCGAAATATGTGTTCAGAGGCAGAACAAACGTCGACACATTCAAGATTCATTTTCTGCCCATTTGACATCTGCAGCTGTCCTAGTAATATTATTCGGATGCCTTAAAAAGTACTTAATGCATTGGATTTGCATTATAGAAAGAGGATTGATTATTTAAGTAGTTGTATTGCTCTACATTTACAGCTCTTGTATTTTTATCATCAAGAAGAATATCGTAACATATTGTGGAATCACAGGATATTAAAGACCAAGAGATAAAAACTACTTAAAATGGTTCGTTTTATTGTAAAAACGTTGTTAAGTGTTCATAAATCGACTTTATACGGTGGAAATCAAGTCCTCTCTGAGGATTTAAGAACATTATCAACCTTAAATATACCTTTGCTGGGAGTGAATGGAGATGTCAGTGAGTTAGTAGCATGAGCTTCTTAATTTTGGTAACTAAGCCAATGGAGATTGAAGAGTTGAGACTAAATAGAGTGGTGATGTTGTTTACTAAGCATCCATTATCACTCCCCTCGTAGTGTTGTAAAACTACTAGTGAGACAGAAAAGACGGCTATCCCCTGCAGTATCATTGATGCATCCTGTAAGTTTGGATAGATCCAAAAGCTTATCTGCAGATATCTGGTTGCATTGGCAGAAGTCTTCATGTACGGTAGGGTGGCGGAGAGCCCAGTCGACAAGCGTGGGTGTAAAGACGTGGTTCTAGATGTCCACTAGACAGGAAATCTTTTACATGACAGAGCACAGAAGAACCGAAGCAGTCACCAAGAAGTTGAGTGCAGAGTAAGGAACGCAAATGCCTCAGGACGACTCAGAAAATTAGCATGTTTAATTTTGAGTTTCCCACGTGATTCTCGGTGAAAGAAGAAGCAAATGTAACTAAATAGAAGCAATTGTTTTTTTTTTACCTTGTTAGCTCTTCTAAATAACCCAATAATCTACTGCTACTAAAGTAGTTTTACCATCTGGGATTTATTTAGCCTTTTGTCAGCAGAAATGGATGGCAAAATTTGTTGTGCTTTCACTGGCCCTTGGGAAATAACATTGAGGAAGAAGTAACTTTTTGACCATTAACCACAGGCGACGTGGAATATGGTAACACTGTTCTGAGGTGCTTCAGAGTGGTGGCATAAAAGCAGATTAATCTCCCTTCCATGCCTTTTTTAATCAAAAACTCTGCGTAGCAAATGTAGCCAATAAAATTCAATCACGGCGGGCGAGGTGGTAATAACCCCAACCTTTTGTGATATCGTAAACATGCATGAACCTCACACCAAGCAATTTGTTTTGCCAAAAACTAAAGGATGGTGACCTCCGAAACTTCTGAAAATCTCATTTTATCTTAATAAAGACTTTTTGCATCTTTACTCCAGAAGATGTTTCGTGATTTTGAAAACAGCTAGATTTATTCTCAGTTACACCAATCTTCACTGAAATAGACGCCTTTCTGGAATTAAAAGGGCGAATACGAGGGATTTTGTGTAGATTTGGTCCAAAATTGGCCGAGATGATTAATTTCAAGTACAAAATGAAAGCCGTCTCCGAATGGGCAGTTTTGGTAGTCTGACCAACGGCAGCTGGGACGGAATGGTTGGAGAACTGTTAAGAAGGGTGAGTAACTAGATTTGCCACTTCTTTATACGAATTAGAAATGGTTCAGGTAAATAAGCGATCCAGTTGAATCGCAATTCCATCAGTAAGTACTCCAAATACTCTACATATACTTTTTAAAAAGCTTTACCCTGTGCAAACTGAATCACAATTCCACTGAATGAGATGCAAAAAGGAGTAGTGAAACTGGCAAGAATGGCTGGAAAGCTAGAGACTCGAAATATGTGTTCAGAGGCAGAACAAACGTCGACACATTCAAGATTCATTTTCTGCCCATTTGACATCTGCAGCTGTCCTAGTAATATTATTCGGATGCCTTAAAAAGTACTTAATGCATTGGATTTGCATTATAGAAAGAGGATTGATTATTTAAGTAGTTGTATTGCTCTACATTTACAGCTCTTGTATTTTTATCATCAAGAAGAATATCGTAACATATTGTGGAATCACAGGATATTAAAGACCAAGAGATAAAAACTACTTAAAATGGTTCGTTTTATTGTAAAAACGTTGTTAAGTGTTCATAAATCGACTTTATACGGTGGAAATCAAGTCCTCTCTGAGGATTTAAGAACATTATCAACCTTAAATATACCTTTGCTGGGAGTGAATGGAGATGTCAGTGAGTTAGTAGCATGAGCTTCTTAATTTTGGTAACTAAGCCAATGGAGATTGAAGAGTTGAGACTAAATAGAGTGGTGATGTTGTTTACTAAGCATCCATTATCACTCCCCTCGTAGTGTTGTAAAACTACTAGTGAGACAGAAAAGACGGCTATCCCCTGCAGTATCATTGATGCATCCTGTAAGTTTGGATAGATCCAAAAGCTTATCTGCAGATATCTGGTTGCATTGGCAGAAGTCTTCATGTACGGTAGGGTGGCGGAGAGCCCAGTCGACAAGCGTGGGTGTAAAGACGTGGTTCTAGATGTCCACTAGACAGGAAATCTTTTACATGACAGAGCACAGAAGAACCGAAGCAGTCACCAAGAAGTTGAGTGCAGAGTAAGGAACGCAAATGCCTCAGGACGACTCAGAAAATTAGCATGTTTAATTTTGAGTTTCCCACGTGATTCTCGGTGAAAGAAGAAGCAAATGTAACTAAATAGAAGCAATTGTTTTTTTTTTACCTTGTTAGCTCTTCTAAATAACCCAATAATCTACTGCTACTAAAGTAGTTTTACCATCTGGGATTTATTTAGCCTTTTGTCAGCAGAAATGGATGGCAAAATTTGTTGTGCTTTCACTGGCCCTTGGGAAATAACATTGAGGAAGAAGTAACTTTTTGACCATTAACCACAGGCGACGTGGAATATGGTAACACTGTTCTGAGGTGCTTCAGAGTGGTGGCATAAAAGCAGATTAATCTCCCTTCCATGCCTTTTTTAATCAAAAACTCTGCGTAGCAAATGTAGCCAATAAAATTCAATCACGGCGGGCGAGGTGGTAATAACCCCAACCTTTTGTGATATCGTAAACATGCATGAACCTCACACCAAGCAATTTGTTTTGCCAAAAACTAAAGGATGGTGACCTCCGAAACTTCTGAAAATCTCATTTTATCTTAATAAAGACTTTTTGCATCTTTACTCCAGAAGATGTTTCGTGATTTTGAAAACAGCTAGATTTATTCTCAGTTACACCAATCTTCACTGAAATAGACGCCTTTCTGGAATTAAAAGCAATATTTAAAATGTGGCATGGGTTTCCCCACTTGTCCATCAGATGTGGTGGTCTCTCCAACCATCAAATTCCTCCTCACAATATTTCATCAAAAAGAGAATCAACATTTACGGGGACGCACTTGAATGT